GAACGTACCGGGAAAGTAACTAGAAGGAACCCGACTGGCCAGACACCGAGAGGGTCCGTGCAAGGCAGTAGAGGGGCTTCTAGAGTGTCCAGGGGACAAGGCCGTGGAGGCCAAGCTCAGACCGTGAGTGACGGTCATGTTGAAATGGTAAATGAGTCTTATGAGTCCGAGGAGGATTCAACGTATCAACCGGGAACAGAGCCGGTTGAGACCCCATATGATGGGGAATATGACGATGTGAGTGAAGAGAGCGATGATAATGACGCGCTTGAAAGAATGGAGGAACTACTCCGACAGTATCAACAAGATCGTCAAAGGCGCCAGGCAAGGCGTGCTTTGGGAGGGGCTTCAAGAAGAGGAAGCCATGTGGGATCTAGAGGACATGTAGAGTCTCGAGTAGATCGGGGTGCTGAGGTCCCAATAATAAGGATCTCGAAGTACCTCAAAGAAGCGAGAGATTTGGGGTGTGAGCCGTTCGATGGAACGGGAGATATCTCCGTTGCGGCGGAGTGGATCAAAAGATTCAATGAAACGGCTCTTGATATGCAGCTGCCGCCAAACATGAAGATGAGAGTAGCAACGAGGTTGCTAGAAGGAATGGCGTCCACGTGGTGGGACAGAGTCAAGGGGAAGTATGGTGAGAATGTCACTTGGGAGAATTTCCGGCAGGAATTCTTCAACCAATACTACTCCGACTTTGAGGTGAACTTGAAAAGGAGGGAATACACCAACTTGACCCAAGGAGGAAAGTATACCGTGAGGCAACTTGAGCATAAATTCAGGGAGCTTGCCGAGTTCATACCGGAGTATGCTTGCGACGAAAACCGAATGGTCAACCACTTTTGGGATGCCTTGGATTTGGACGTGCGTGAAAGGGCAACACAATTGCCTAACATGACGTTTAGTCAGGTGGTTGAACAAGGTTTGAAAGGAGAGAAAGAATGGGAGGAAAGGAAAATGAAAAACGCCGAGGAGGCGAAGAAAAGGAAATGGGAGAGCACCGGCCCTCAAGGTTCTAGCAGAAGGGGGAACCACGGGGGAGGTGGATCTTTTAGAACACCCGCACCCCCATCTAGGGGAAATCAAGGCCCAGAAGGGCAAGGTTCGAGGTCGCAGGGCTCGGGCGTAATGAGGTGCAACAATTGCAAAAGAAACCACTCGGGCAAGTGCCGTGATCCCCCACGGTGTTACCAATGTGGGGAGGCAGGACACTTGAGATCGAATTGCCCACAACTTGGGCGAGCCATGGATGCAGGACCTAGCAGCGGGACTACGGCAAGTAGGAACCGGGCAGAAGTACCTCATGGGAGCACGTGTGACACCGCACCCGAACGTCCTTGAAAACTCGATTTAAAAATTTATAAGTGATGTATTGAATTTCCGATTTCAAAACAATGGGAGAAACGATTAATATTTTACGAAGTACATGATTGAATATTGTATTGTTCAAACCCGCATTCTTTTGTAATTTTCATCATGTAAATTATTGGGAGGAGCCTACACATATTGGAGATCAATAATGTGATTTTGGAAGTTGACTTGTTCTAAATAAATTAGGATGAGTACAAAAAGACATCTTTGACAAAGATAAAACAATAGGACCCATCTTCCCATTTTTTGGAAGTATTGGTAGATATTTTGGACCCCAAATTGATTGGGATTAATTGGGGGGCATCCCATGTGGCTTGAGTACCTGCAAGACAAGGAAAATATGTGAGGAGACTCACCTTGGCCGCACCACATGGAGAAGCATTGCCCATGACACAATTGGGATCAAATTTTGGGGCCACCACCACTGTTTTCGCACAAACAGGTGTGCTGTTTTGTCTCCCTTCATTTTGAGAGTTGTACTCGTCCAAATGGGGTGTATAAGGTGTCTTTGGATAGCTTTTGAAGTCTATTTTCATATTTGAGTGGCCACAGTTCGAGAGGAGAGAGCAATCATCCAAAAATCGATCTGGAACGAGCAGAGGTCTGTGAACTCGAGCTGTGAGAGTGCTGAGACTGTTTGGTCGATATCTCGAGTTTTACAAATCCAATTAAGGCGTGTGAGATACCCACAGAAAGCTCTCAAGACGAGGAATCCGTGAAGGTCTGGTTTGCAGGAATCGGAGTTGTTGAAGGCTTCCAAATCGTCCGAGAAAAACGCAACCTCGCAGGAGAGGATTTAATCCTCTAAAGTGAGTTTTAAACCCCAAAGCTTTACTTTTCATTCTCCAAATGATATGAACGATTGGTGAGACTATTATACACTAATCCAAGTGTATAATATGTCCTTATAAAGTTATTTTATTGATGTAAAGGTTAGATACTAACCTAGATGCAAATATTGGAAAACTAGGAATCGAGTTAGCCGGAAAACACCCGTTCTAGGGACTGTTTTCGTATCAACGATTAAGGGTTGAACTAGCACTTTGAGGAGGCTGTTTAACACTCATATTTGAGCAAGGAATCAGTTCCAAATCCACTTTGACCAAAGCTTTGACCATTGGACCAAGAAGGGAAAGTTTAAAGCTCAATTGAGGTGAGGATTGACATCTAATTGCTTACAACTTGTAGGTTAAGCATGAGATTACCTAAATGCTTAAATCATGATTTTTCATGGATTATGATGATTATATATTGATGAAATATTGATATATTTGCCAAGGAATGAAATTTGAAATGATTTGAGAAGGTATGAATAATATGAGATTAAATGAGTATAAATGAACTATTTAGTGAAAATGGGCATTTTGCTCATGTATGAATTATGTGGATACATAAATGAATATTTGTGTATTGAGATTGAATACTTAAGTTGCTGCTACATAATTATAAATATGTAGAGAATTACAAATAATGAGGATAATGGTATGGTAACAATAATCTTAATAGTATTGAAATACTAGTTAGTGATTATTGGAACTTGTTGATTAAATTGATCCTAGGGATTGGATTGTATGAAAGGTACTTGAATATAGTTCAAGTGTATATAATAACTTAGTTTGGAACTAAGGTTAAGTTATGGGAAGTCTTTAAGGATGACCCAAAGTAGTTTAATGATATGTCAATTCTAGGCATAGGGTTGCTTGAGAATTGGACCTTAATGCATGGTGATGTAATAGAGCCGAGCTCTAGAATGCATGTAAGGTGTAGGCTTGGAGTCTATGTATTGTATAGCTAGAGCCGAGCTCTAGGACTTGCGTGGTGATGTAATAGAGCCGAGCTCTAGAACGCAAGGTAAGGAAATTGACCCGGGGTATATGAATTGTATGGTGATGTAGTAGAGCCGAGCTCTAGAATACAAGGTCATGTACTAGGGTTGGATACTAGGAGTTGTCGTGGCTTATAGCCACGGGGTTGGGAATGGTGATTTCCAAATGAAAACGGGCCCACGGGTAGACTACTTGACTTTTATATAAAGTAAGTATATTTTTAAACGGGGTAACTTAGGGTTACAATCATAATGTACTATCACCCTACTTGAGGGTCTTGTGTTTGAAATACTTGTTGTATATCTATTAGATGCCTGCCACACCAGTACTTTATAGCCGTATAGAGTACTGACCCCTTCGGGGGCGTCCCACCACCATTTCAGGTTGAGGCTAGAGCTTGCATCCTGTGCTCGTCGATCGAGTGATTCCTCGGAGAGAAGACTTGGTTCGTGCTTCCTCCATTCTATTTGAAACATTAATAAATTTGCTCATGGATATTTTACTATAGAGCCTGCGTGCTCATGAATAGCCCGGTGTGGCCTTTTGTTTTAAACAATGTTTTCCGCTGCGTTATGAATTACTTATTATGTTTGTTTATGGATGTTATATGTGTGAATGATATTCATGACGCCTTGTATAATATGAATGTGTTGGACTGCGGTTGACTATTCGTATTGTACGGCGGGTTGTTGACGTGTCCGGGTAGGTCCGGGGCGTGACACTTAAGTTGGTATCAGAGCCTTAGTCCATAAACTTCATAATGAAGTCTCAAAATTCTCTTTTTGAAAAGATTTTGAAAACCATGAGCATAGAAGTTTTGTACTTGGAGAGCTTTTGGTACTTGGGTTGCAAGGTCTCTAATTGTTAAGATGGTACCCTTAGCAATTGGTATGGCGGTGACTCGAGCCAAAATGTGTCTTAAGTACCTATCCGTCAATTGACATTTGATACGAGTCTAACGACTCTTTCCAAATTCTTTCAGAAATGGACCGTGGTGGCAGGATTACTAGGAGAAACCCGACCGGCCATGTACCAGTGGAGACTGGACAGGGCAGTCGAAGGACCTCTAGGGCATCTAGAGGAGCTGGCCGTGGAGGCCGATCACAGACCGTGAGTGACGGTCATGTCGACACGGAAAGTGAAACCTACTGGTCCTATGAGGACTCGACCTATCGACCGGAAACTGAACCGGTTGAGACCCCTTATGAAGGGGATGATGATGATGTAAGTGATGAGGAGGAAAATGGCTCCTTAGCACAGATTGAAGCACTACTTCAACAGTACCACCGTGAGCGTGAGGAGAGGAGGGAACGCCGAAGGCGCCGGGCTGGGCAACCTTCGGGCGGGGCTTCAAGAGGGAGAAGTCATGGCGACTCTAGGGCCCACATTGAACCACATGGGGGTCGGGGTGATGGGGGTCCAATCATAAGGATCTCCAAATACATCAAAGAGGCACGAGACTTGGGGTGCAAACCGTTCGATGGGACGGGTGACATCTCCGTTTCGGCACAATGGATTAAACGGCTGAATGAGGCAGCCCTGGACATGCAACTCACCCCCGAATATAAACTAAGGGTTGCGGTGAGATTGCTTGAAGGTATGGCATCCAAGTGGTGGGATGGGACCAAAGGCAAATATGGCGAGACCGTCACTTGGGAGAATTTCCGACAGGAATTCTTTGCCCAATATTACTCGGATTTTGAGGTGAACAAGAAAGTGAGGGAATACACCCTTCTAACCCAAGGGGGTAACATGACGGTGAGGGAACTTGAGTACAAGTTCAGGGATCTTGCCGATTACATACCTGAGTATGCTTGTGACGAGAACCGGATGGTGAACCACTTCTGGGATGCTCTAGACTTGGAGATACGTGACAGGGCAACACAATTGCCTAACATGACGTTTGCCCAAGTGGTTGACCAAGGGTTGAAAGGAGAGAAGCAATGGGAAGAAAGGAAGAAGAGAGACGCCGAGGAGGCGAAAAAGAGAAAGTGGGAGAGTCATGGCTCCCAAGGTTCCAACAAAAAGGGGAACCACGGAGGAGGATCTTTCCGGGCACCACCGCCACCATATAGGGGGAACCAAGGCCCGAGTGGGCAAGGCGCGAGGTCACAAACCTCAGTGGTAGCTCGTTGCAACAATTGCAAGAAGAACCACTCCGGTAAATGTCGCGACCCCCCTAGATGTTTTCAATGCGGGGATGCCGGGCATTTGAAGGCACATTGCCCACAACTGGGCGGGGCAAGGACATCGGGACCAAGTAGTGGCCCGACGGGTACACGGAATCAGACCGGGGCTTCTCAAGCAAGCAGGGGGCAAGGGGGAGCAAGTGCGAGCAACGCGCCATCCGTGAACCAAGGGAGGACCCAGGCTAGGGTCTATGCGATGACGGAGGCGGATGCTCAAGCTAACCCGGACTCTGTCGCAGGTATTGCCTCTCATATACTAGTGTTTATCCTTGATTAGTCCATAAATTGAGGATACTAATCGCTAGGATCATTGCACGAGGTTTTGGGGTCAAACCGGGGGATTTCGGGCAACTTCAGGCGGCTGGGACCCAGGCACGATCGTGCCTAAGGCAGACACGATCGTGCCTCCAAGTCAGTAGCTGCCCAGGAATATTCGCAGCCCAGGCACGATCGTGCCTAAGGCAGACACGATCGTGCCTACAAGGCAGTAGCTGCCCAGGGTTTTTCTCCAAACCAGGCACGATCGTGCCTAAGGCGGACACGATCGTGCCTCCAAGTCAGTGGTTCCCAGGATTTTTCCAACCCAGGCACGATCGTGCCTAAGGCAGACACGATCGTGCCTCCAAGGCAGTAGCCCCAGGGCGTTTTCCTGAGCCAGGCACGATCGTGCCTACCCCGGGCACGCCGTGCCTGGCACCCAGATTGCCGAAACCCGATTTGTTCGCATCGTTTTGCGACGTTAAGGCCTCTTCTTGATCCCTAACGTGCGTGTGAACATTGCAACCTTCTATAAATGAGTAGGGAGGGTAGGAAAGATGTCTTACATGGTTCATGAATGTAGGGACACTAAAGATTAACGGGAAGGATGCACGAATCCTTATCGATACCGGAGCGCAACGTTCATTCGTGAGTGAGGCGTTTGCCGAGAGCTTAGAGATGCAATCAATACCAATGACACAAACCTTAGTGGTATCAACCCCACTAGGGGAAGACGTTGAAAGAAACAATTACTATCCATCTTGTATGGTGGAAATCGGTGGCCAAACCTTGACGTGTGATTTCGTACCGCTGAGTATGATGGAGTTCGATGCAATCCTAGGGATGGATTGGCTAGAAAAGCATCATGCTAGGGTAGATTGCTACACAAAGGTGTTGGAACTCGAAGGCACACATGGGGACACCCTACGCTTCGAGGGGGACCGCGGCAAATCAAATAGTTGTATCATATCCGCCGTGAGAGCGAGAAATATGATGAGGAAGGGATGTCACGCATATCTAGCATACGTGGTTGACAAAACCAAAGAGGAAACGAACATCGATGATGTGAGGGTGGTTTGTAAGTATCCGGATGTCTTCCCTAAAGACCTACCGGGGCTTCCACCTGACAGAGAGATTGAATTTGTGATCGAGGTCGAGCCCGGCACCAAACCAATCTCCATACCGCCATACCGAATGGCACCCGCAGAACTTAACGAGTTGAAAACCCAATTGCAAGAGCTTTTGGATAACGGTTTCATTAGACCAAGCCACTCCCCGTGGGGAGCACCGGTTCTTTTCGTGAAAAAGAAAGATGGGACACTTCGAATGTGCATTGACTATCGTCAACTGAACAAGGTCACAATCAAGAATAGGTATCCTTTGCCTAGGATTGATGACTTGTTTGACCAATTGCGAGGAGCAACTGTGTTCTCGAAGATTGACTTGAGGTCGGGGGTACCATCAATTGAAGATCAAAGAGGATGACATACCGAAGAGTGCCTTCCGCACTAGGTATGGACATTTTGAGTTCCTTGTTATGTCGTTTGGGTTAACAAACGCCCCGGCGGCATTCATGGACTTGATGAACCGAGTATTTCACAAATACTTGGACCGATTCGTGATCGTGTTCATAGATGACATCTTGATCTACTCAAAGAGTGAGGAAGAACATGAGGAGCACTTGATACTCGTTCTTGAGACACTACGGGAGAAGCAACTCTATGCCAAATTTTCCAAATGTGAATTTTGGCTTAGGGAGATTGGCTTTCTCGGGCATGTGGTATCGGGATCGGGAATTGCGGTTGATAACAAGAAAATAGAAGCCATTACCGAATGGGAGAGGCCAAAGAACGTCAAAGAAATTCGTAGTTTTCTTGGGTTGGCAGGCTACTACAGAAAGTTCGTGGAGAAGTTCTCCGTTTTGGCATCACCATTGACGAAGCTCACTCGTAAAGGAGCTAAGTTTGTATGGGATGACAAATGTGAGAAAGGTTTCATTGAACTAAAGAGGAGATTGACCGAGGCACCGGTACTCGCATTACCCAAGCAGGGTATGGGGTACGATGTCTATAGTGATGCCAGCATCCAAGGGTTTGGATGTGTGTTGATGCAAATGGGGAGGGTAATTGCCTATGCTTCACGACAATTGAAGAAACATGAGGTAAATTATCCTACTCATGATTTGGAGCTCGGGGCAGTGGTGTTTGCACTTAAGATATGGAGACATTATCTCTACGGGGAGACATGCCACATATACACTGACCACAAGAGTTTGAAGTACGTGTTTACTCAGAAAGAGTTAAACATGAGGCAGAGACGGTGGATGGAGTTGATAAAAGACTACCACCTGGTAATCGAGTACCATCCAGGCAAGGCCAATGTGGTGGCAGATGCCTTGAGCCGGAAAAGCTCATCTGGGGCATTGATAGCTAACTTGAGGGCTTTAAGAGCCCAACTGGAGGTATCCAGTAATGGAGCCTTATTGGCACGATTTGAGGTGAGACCTACTTTGCTTGATGAGATCAAGAAGGGTCAGGAAACTGACGAGGAAATCATGAGGATCCGGGAACGCATGCAAGCGGGACCAGTGGAGGACTTCAGGGAAAGAGATGATGGTCTCTTATTATTTCGTGACCGAGTGTGTGTACCATCGGATGAGGGGCTCCGAAAGTCCATCTTAGAGGAGGCTCATTCATCGGCGTATGCTATGCACCCGGGAGGTACGAAAATGTACTGTGATCTGAAAGAAAGTTACTGGTGGTCTGGTATGAAGAGAGAAATAGCCGAGTACATCAGTAAATGCCTTACTTGCCAGCAAGTTAAGGCAGAACATCAGCATCCAGCTGGGTTATTGCAGCCACTTTCCATTCCAGAATGGAAATGGGAGCACGTAACCATGGATTTTGTGGTGGGGCTACCACGGACAGTTAAGAATTATGATGCCGTATGGGTTGTGGTTGATAGGCTTACAAAGAGTGCACATTTTCTACCTATCAACACTACCTATGCACTTGAGAGGTTAGCCAAGTTGTATGTGGATGAGATCGTGAGGCTACATGGCGTTCCTATAACCATTGTGTCCGACAGGGATCCACGATTCACATCACGATTTTGGCCGAAGTTCCAAGAGTCTATGGGAACGAAATTGAAGTTTAGCACTGCTTTTCATCCACAGACGGATGGACAATCTGAGAGGGTCATACAGATATTAGAAGACATGTTGAGAGCTTGTGCATTGGAGTTCCAAGGAAGTTGGGACAACCATCTAGCACTGGTAGAGTTTGCCTATAACAACAGTTATCAGGCGAGTATTGGCATGCCTCCATACGAGGCATTGTATGGGAGGCGATGTCGTACGCCTTTGTGTTGGGACGAAGTTGGCATGGCCAAACTTGAGAGCACAGAATTGGTGGAGATCACCAAGACAAAGGTGAAGATGATTCGTGATAGGCTTAAGGCAGCCCAGGATAGACAAAAGAGCTATGCCGATAAACGCCGGAGAGCCTTAGAGTTTAAGGTGGGAGATGAGGTGTTTCTGAAAGTTTCACCTTGGAAAGGGATCATCCGTTTTCAAAGCCGAGGGAAACTTAACCCACGCTACATAGGGCCATTTGTGATTCTTGAAAGAATTGGGGCCGTAGCATACCGACTTCAGTTGACTCCGGAATTGGAGAAGATACATAACGTGTTCCACGTGTCTATGCTAAAGAAATATGTGCCGGATCCGTCTCACGTGTTAGAGAAACCACCCGTGGAAATACGTGAGGACTTGAATTATGCCGTTCGACCGGTAAGGATACTTGATAGGCAAGTAAAGAAGTTGAGGAGCAAGAGAGTTCCAATGATTAAAATCCTTTGGAAAAGTGACCGAGTTGAGGAAGAAACTTGGGAAACGGAAGCCTTGATGAAGGAACAGTATGCATTTCTTTTTGAATAGGCATTGTGAATTTCGGGGACGAAATTCCCGTTAAGGGGGGGTGAACTTGTGACACCGCACCCGGATGTACTTGAATTTGAAATGTGACATGTATTCGAATTTCCTAGCGAATAAAATTCGTGTAATTAATGGGCATATTTAATTAATGTGCGATTAATCGAATTATTTATCGGGCCCATTAAATGTGAATGGGCTACCAAATATTTAGTTGGGCTATCATAAAAATCATAGGGGTCCAATAAAACGCCAACCGAAGTTGATAAAAATATTTGGACAACCCGGGTGCTATTTTGACCCGACCGGCCCGAAATAGCAGGAATAATTGGGAGGGACTTCCTATACCCCATTTGGGGTTTTTCCCACAAGCTTTGTGGACTCAAAATGATGACTTGAGACAAGTAAACATGGGGAGGGGCGGACTTATGAGGAGAGGGGATGGCTCAAGACAAAACCACACCCCCATGTCCTATCATTTGCCTCATTTGTGGCCTTTGAGAAAGAAGGAAACATCCCCCCTATCCTCTACATTATTTGGACGACCAAGCAAGGAGGAAAGCTCTAGGAGAGGTTCTTCACAAAGTCTCTAACTTGAGGAAGGCAATAGGAGAGGAGATTCAACACAAAGGACTTGGTTCTTGAGGTAAGAACACAAGTATTATCCTTTAACTAGTTTTTAGTGTATGATTTTTAAGAAATCATATGGTGGATTAAACATGATGTTCTACACGTTTAAAAGCGTAAAATATTGTTATAAAGTGGTGGTATTTAACTTAGAAGAGTCGTGGAATCGATAGGAGTTGAAACCACCGGAAACCGCCAAGAAGGAGGAGCTGTTCGTGGTAGCAGACTACGAACGTCGCCCGGCTTTCACGAAAGCCGCCCGGCTTTCACCTTCTGTCCAGACTTTTCACTCTTGATCGGTTTAGAACGGGGATCGATCGAAGGGCTTATCAAAGGCAACTAATCCAGCACTTCATAAGGTGAGGATGGCTGACTATGTTGTTTATAATCTTTGGGTTAATTTCGTAAGATTACCTAAAGTAGTTAAATGTTATTTTCATGGATTATTAATGATTAATAATGCCTAAATGAAAATATTGTTGTCAAATGAATAAAGGAGCATAATATACAAATTTAAGGATAAATTGTGTATGATTATGTAATGTGAGCATATTGGCTTGATGAAGGGATTAACTATGAATATTATGTTGAAATATAATTTTAACTTCATATAAGGGTATATGAGTGATTAAAGATTATATTTTGTATATTGATATGAACTATATTTTCAATGGAAAATTAGTTTGAGAATTGTCTATATGACTATGAACTGAAACGAGATTTTGTTGGAATTTATCCGACTAGTATAATGATACTAGTCGGGGTTTTGGAATGAAATATGTTAGAATTGATCCAAGGTTTGGATTGTGAATTGTTGAACCTTAAGTAGTCTTAAGAGATACTAAGGTGGATAAGTTGTGACACCGCACCCGAACGTCCTTGAAAAAAATTCAAGTTAAAAATTCAAAGTTTACGTATTGAATTTCTGATTCCCAAACAATTGTAAATGATTGATGATTTTACGTAATTAATGATCGATTATTATACCGTCCGAACTCGCATATTAGTGTCGGGCTTGTGAATACTCATTTGGGCCTTATTAATAAATAAAAGAGCCTAACATTATCTAAGTAGCGATACATAACGTTTCAGGACAAGTTGAAGAAGGGCGGGCAGCCCAGACATTATTTTGGGCTCAACCCGCTAAAATAGCAAGTATTCGAGGACGGCGTCGTAGGCCCACTCGGGGGCGACCCACACGGCTAGTAGCCCGATAATATGGATAACAAATGTCAAAATAAGTGATAGGATGATTTGAGATGAATACAAATGCCTATGATCCCATCTTTGACATTATTGAGCTAAATAATGGGAATATGATTGTCCTTCTATAATGTCCATCATGTAAATAATTGGGATGAGCCTACACATATTGGAGATCAATAATGTGATTTAGGAAGTTGACTTGTTCTAAATAAATTAGGATGAGTACAAAAAGACATCTTTTGACAAAGATAAAACAATAGGACCCATTTTCCCCATTTTTGGAAGTATTGGTAGATAGTTTGGATCCCAAAATGATTGGGATCAATTGGGAACCACTCCACATGATATTAGTACCTGCAAGACAAATAAAAATGGGTTAGGAAACTTACCTTGGCCGACCACCATGGAGAGGAGCTGCACAAGACTTGATAGGAATCAAATGTTGGGCCACCATCCCTATTTTCGCACAAAATTGTGTGCTGGTTGTCTCCACTCATTATGGGAGTTGTACTCGACCAAATGAGGTGTATAAGGTGTCCTTGGATAGCCTTTGAAGTCTAGTATCTCAATTGAGTGGTCTTTGTTCGAGGAGAGAGAGCTTATCTTACCAGAATCGAGCTGAAGTGAGTGGTGGTCTGTAAACTCGAGCTGTGAGAGTGCTGAGACTGTTTGGTTGATATCTCGAGTTATACCAATCCAAATAAGGCGTGCGAGATACCCACAGAAAGCTCTCAAGACGAGGAATCCGTGAAGGTCTGGTTTGCATCAATCGGAGTAGTGGAAGGCTTTCAAATCGTCCGAGCAAAACACAACCTCGCGGAATACGTTTTTGTATTCAAAGTAAGTTTGAATCCAAAACCTTCCTCTCTATTGTCTAAACCATATAAATGATTGAAGAACTATTATACACTGATTGAAGTGTATAAAATGTTATTATAAAGTGACTTTAATTGTTGGAAAAGTTAGATACTAATCTAGACAAAACCTTGAAAGGTTAGGGAACGATTTCGTCGGGAAACACCCGTTCTAGGGACTGTTTTTGTGTCTTCGGTTAGGAGTTGAACTAGCACTTTGAAGAGGCTGTTTAACACTCAATTCCAAGCAAGGAATCAGTCCTCAATCTTTCTTGGCCGAGGCTTTGGTCATTGGATCGAGAAGGAAAGTTTTAAAGCTCATTTGAGGTGAGGATGGCTGACTATATTGCTTATAATCTTTGGGTTAATTTCATAAGATTACCTAAAGTAATTAAATGTGATTTTCATGGATTATTAATGATTAATAATGCCTAAATGAAAATATCATTGTTTGTGAATAGAAGATGCATAACATACAAATTTATGAGAAATTGTGTATGATGATGCATAATAAATGTGAAGGTATAATGATTGTATAAACCATGAATTTTTGTGATAAAATATACTTTTACTTCATGTATAGAAATCATGAATGGATAAAAGTGATATTTTTGATATTGAGATTAAATCGTATACGGATTAGAAAATCCATAGGAATGAGCCTTATAACTATGAGTTAAGGAGCTTGGGCTGTTTAAAGGTTTATGGATTAGTATTTAATTTACTAATCGGGAATGTTGTATAAAAAGTGATAGAACAATCCTAAGGACTTGGATTGTGAAGGATGCACCTTAAGTAGTCTTATGAGATGCCTTAAGGTAGGAAGGGGTAACCACTAAGTTACATTAGGAGTAGGCCTCATTGGCTACTCAAGATTGAGGAACTCTAGGCATAGAATTTGCTAGTGAGTTAGTATCGTGACTAGAGGAAGCCTCTAGCACGATGAAGAATGACTGGAGGAAGCCTCCAGCATTCGTGTAGGACGAACTAGTATCGTGACTAGAGGAAGCCTCTAGCACGATGAAGAATGACTGGAGGAAGCCTCCAGCATTCGTGTAGGATGACTAGAGGAAGCCTCTAGCATAATGTAATGTGACTGGAGGAAGCCTCCAGCACAAAGTATGTAAGGTGATTAGAGGAAGCCTCTAACACCGAATTTAGTGACTAGAGTAAGCCTCTAGCACGGCAAAACATGACTAGAGGAAGCCTCTAGCATGGTGAATTTAATATAGATGGGCGTGGCTTGAAGTCACGGGGAAAGGGTTGAACGTTTTCAAGGTAAAACATGGGTCTTCGGGCCAACTACTTGACTTTATATATAAAGTAAGTATATTTTCAAAGAGGGTAACCACGGGTTATGACCTATATTATATTATCACCCTATGTGAGGGTCTTGGAAATTGAAACTTTGATTATACTTAGTATAGTTGTCATTGTACTTGTCAAATGCTTCCAAGTACTGACCTCCCCTTCACGGGGGAGGCCACCTCACAGTTTCAGGTAGGACTTGAAGGTTGCTACCGCCGCCGTTGCTTTGGGGAGGTTCAAGGAAGGAGACGTGGTTCGCGCTTCTTCCGTTCCTGTTTTGAAAACATTTTTAAATAATGCTCATGGATACTATTTGAATATTTATTTGGGCTTGTATGCCCGTGTTTGCCACGTGTGGCTTGGATATTTGAATTAATGTTTCCGCTGCTTGATTAAATATTTTGCATTATGATTGTTTATGGATGTACTATTGTGAATGATATTCATGACGCCTAGTATAGTATGGATGAGTTGGACTGCGGTTGACTATTCGTACTGTACGGCGGGTTGTTGACGTGTCCGGTGGGTCCGGGGCGTGACATAAGTGATGCTAGGGGTAGGCCTTAAGGGATACCCAAGATAAAGTGAATAATAAATTGATCCTAGGAATAGGATTGGCCTACGGGTGTATTCGGTAGTCTTTAAGGATTAGCCGATAGAGTATTGGAAATTAGTAAGGACCATGGCCCTTCCCGACTCTAGAGAGCGGGGTTGGATAGCATGGACTTACATCGTGATCACGGGTTAGGGTGGAATCCGAACCGGAGACCTTACGAGGCTCCCGACAGCGGTAACACATAAGATAGGACCCCGAATGGACCTTACCTTCCTACGGGACGATGGGTATGAGTTCAGGGGCGGGATGTTGGACTCCGGCCCGAGAGCCCGGTGAGGCCTCGGAGAGCGGTGACAAGTCTCGTAAAGGATGATAAGACCTACGGGCGGTGTCGTGCTAACGACGGGTATAATGAAATATATGAAATGGGCCGTGTGCCGACAAATAAATAAATTTACTTATTATAGAGATAATAAGTGGGAAATATAAATTATTATTTATATTATGATATCACCCTATTTTGAGGGTCTTGGAAATTAAAACGTTGATTATACTTAGTATAGTTGTCATTGTACTTGTCAAATGCTTCCAAGTACTGACCTCCCCTTCACGGGGGAGGCCACCTCACAGTTTCAGGTAGGGAGTAAAGCCTGCTACCATCGCCCGTTGCTTCGGGGAGCTCAGGGAGGGAAGACGTGGTTCGTGCTTCCTCCGTTCTATTTTTAAAACATTAAATTAATGCTCATGGATACTATTTTGATTAATTATTTGGGGCTTGTACGCCCATGTTGCCGAAGTGTGGCGTAAATACTTGTATTAAACGTTTCCGCTGATTTAAATGATTATTTTACATTATGTTTGTTTATGGATGTACTATTGTGAATGATATTCAAGACGCCTAGTATAGTATGGATGAGTTGGACTGCGGTTGACTATTCGTACTGTACGGCGGGTTGTTGACGTGTCCGGTAGGTCCGGGGCGTGACATGTTCAGCCAGGTATTTTTCCATGGGCACCTTTTACAAACTGGGGGAGTTCACCTAGCTTGTTGAATAAGGCATTCAATTGCCATTGCAGTTATCTGTGTTGTGAGTGGTGTTCCAATAGTAGCGGCAATATGTTCCACCGTACCTTGGTGTATGCCATAGATCTCCTTCATCGAGCGTGTGTCCTTGGCTATCAAACCCTGCTCCTCAACATAGTCCAAGATGACGCCCACCAGGTTTATGAGGAGAGTCCAAGGTGCATCCATCTTTGCCGCCATTGGCATCTTTCCCGGTGTTGTCCCTCTGACCCGGAGTATGCGTGCCTTCAGGGTTTTTGCTCCCTGGCCGGTGGTGCTGTAACACTGTCCCCAATTATATTTACTTTTAAGTAATTAATGTATTTAACCTTATGAAATGGTCATTGAATTTACGAAGTTGTAAATTTTTATTCGCGTGAATAGTAAATCACACGTGGGACCCACACCGGGATCGGAGACCACTCGATATTCCCGAAACCACATAATTTATTCATATTGGTCTAGATAATATTTATATGTTGGTGGATACTTTATTTGGGCCAAGGAAAAGGCATAGTGTTGACTCATTGGTAAAACGGGTCCAATTACCGGTACTGGTAATTTACTAGTTATCAGTCCGAATTGAATTTCGGAGACTTATAAATTAAAGTTGGGGGATATATATTCATTCTACATGCCATAATGAGTGTGAGCACATAATACATTTTATTTGACCCAAATAAAATAAAATAATATAATTAAAACAGTCTAAAAAATACAACTTTCGGGACCGAATGCACATTTCGGGACACAAAGGGATGACCTCCCACATGGGTGGGGGCCATCCCACGATTTTGTCAACCAAATAAGGCTGATTGGGGGATAAGGTGGCTGGAGCTCAATTGAAAGGATGAGGGAGACACTTTTGACACCTAGTGGACCCCCATTTCCCTCACCCATTTACCAAGAAAGACAAAAACACTACCTTCCCCTCCCTCCCACTCATTTTGCTCGGCCAAGACACACCAAGAGAGGAAAGAAACCTCTTCAAATCACATCCTCCATAGCTAATTCGAGCTCAAGCAAGGGTGTTCCAAGGAGGAAGATTAAAGAAGGATAAAGTTAGGAAAAGGTGAGAAAATTAAGGTAATGACCTTATCATAAATTTTCATTTATTTCTTCTTCTATCATATGAGATATATATCATATGAAGAACCCTTAGGATTTTTCTACATGATATGAGT